CACTGAAAGTTGAACTGGATATCCATGAGTTGGGTTTTAGCGGACAAGGAATTCAAACTCATTGCCCGGGTTTGTTGTTGACGAAGTAAAGTTCACCAGAATGGTCAAAATTAAGTGGACATGCATAAAATAACCATAACCTATTTCAATTCTATGTTAAAAACTGTAGTCGTACTCAGAGGGGGCACACTCTTAGGTGGGGGGTCGGGCCTCCCAGTTTGACGTTCTTGGACATTATCGGGTCTGTATATACATAAACATAAAAAAAAAATCAGCCATCTTAAAAACCGTAGCTCTGCATAGCAAAGAAACGGAAAAATAGGTGTGTGTTTAATGAGGGGGGGGTTCCACCTCTGAGTGTAGCGAGGAGCCGATCACTGGCGCCAACTCCCCAAAATTTCGCTTTCGTGACTCTTCTAGGGTGCATCTTCATAGGACTATGGAATGATACTTTACTGGCGGGAGTGGAAGTAAGTTGCCCTGAAAATTTTGATGGTGCCCTGATTTCTGCATAAACACTATATGTGTAGCATAAAATAACACAAAAGTTAGAGTAACATAATAAGTACTGTTTGATATAAGATATCGTTACAATTTACAAAATGAGATACAGTTGCTCTGCAACATTTCTAAATTTCAACCAAAAATATGGCATTGCGGTTGATGTGGAATAGATCCACATCCAAACTACTTGTAAGCAAATTCGACTTTCATCACAAGCAAATTTAAAAGACGCTGATTCAAGCAGTAGACCTACTGCAAAGTTTTACTTTAGATTAACCAAGAGAAATAACTATGTCTTTTCTCTTAGTATCATGTTTAAAACCTATCTCCGTTAAGGGGATTGTTAGCATATGAACTTTCGATGTTTATCAGGCAATACTCTTTCATCTTTCGTAACCCATGGTGTTGCGCAAGTATGTCTTCATCCTGCGCAAGTCACTGACGGTAGGTTCTGCTGTACATGAGGTTGCTGGACTCACTGCAAATATTGCGTATCAATTTAGAGAGTTTTGGAAGTATCTGAATGAGCTCAACCAGATAAATGGCTTCGTAAACTTCAGATGCTGTTCTGAAGTTTCATGTTATTTTATTTACTTAAAATTGCTGAAAATGGCAAGCCAATCCCTGTCTCGCTTAATTTCATCAAAACTCTTTTCATTTGGTTTTTCGTGGAGTGCTATATCCCCCAGGCTACACAAGATCTTTTGATTATTGACCTGGAACTTGTTTTCTAGTGCAAGCAGCACTGTCCAATTACCTGTAGTAGGTTTCTATTCTATGTTTGATTCAGGTCTGATACAATTGTTTCTGCTGCACTCTCTCCCACTAAGGCTTGTTGACGACTAGAGGGCTTTTTTCCTTCGAACTTTGGCTTCTTTAAATGTAAAGTCAGTGTCATCGATTCTTTCATTTTGTCACCAAGCATCTCTGCTTTATGCCAGAGACATTTGATTGTCAGAGAAGCAGTTCGCCTGGCTGTAATTACATCCACATTTTTGCCTTGAAGATACTTGGAGAGACTGTTGGTACTTGACAATAGACTCAAGACACAAGCCAAGTACAAAGTTAAAATTTCAAATGGCCCCCAATAATACCCTATTATCAGCATAAGTCTTCGCATCTTTGTCCTCTGCTAAAGTCAGCAGAGCCTTGAACAGCTTTCACTGCCTCCCAGTGATTGGACCATCGTGTTACACTCAGTGATTTCAGACTTTGTACAATTGGTTTTCCATCATTTGTTAAGTCATTGAATACAGCATGACGTGTGGGGCTGGCGTCTAGAAAGTTGTAGAGGTTTTGGCACCAAGAGCATTTCGTAAAGGCTCCTCAATCTGTGTCACAGTAGCCATGATTGCCAGGTTCAGAAGATGACCATAGCAATGTACAATGAAAGGCAAAAGTCGCGCCGTTAAATTTGGTGAATACGTATGCCGAAGGGCTAAAACTTTTGGTGCGCTCTGCCTCGTGGTAGGGGGCTCTCTTAATGTTTCACGATTTATATTTAATCTTCGGACAAAACCGCGACACGACTTTTTTCTTTGATTGTACTATCGTGGACAAAAGTTCGCTCCTTCCGCACAGCACACCCGCACCAGATAACAATCAGGGTAAGTCAGTTCGGAGACTCATTCCCGTGTCTCAGTTTCACTACAGGGAACTAACTTTTGTCCACGATAGTACATATATGGCAAATGGCATACTCATCCACATATTAAATTTTAGGTCAATCTTCAAATATGTTGTCATGCTTCGTGAACAACCACACAAACAAACACTAGATTCTATGTTATATACTGTATATTAGGTATTTAATGGGCTAATTTGCTTTTGGTGAAAATACTTTGCAGAACTATAATTGATTATTGACACAGGGTGATAGTTGCCATGTCTGTTCTAAGGTTTATGAACTCAGTCAATGTAACCATAATTCATTCATAATGAAGATACTTGAAATTTTTGAAACAAAATATTAATGAATTTTTCACGTAAAGTACGTACGATTTATCAACCAATGGGACAGCCTATAACTTCCGTGTGGATTAAGTTATCTATTTTGTACGTGCTTTTAACAGACATAATTGTAGACTTGCATTATTGAAGAGAATAAAAAAACTACTGAGTTTACCTCAGATTTACTGTGAATCAGTTGTAAAATGATAATGCATCTGTTGATTGTCACTATCACGTGGTTTTGACGTAAGGTGTGTCAATATTGTCATCTTCATCATGTTAAGTATCATTTGGTTTATATGGTGTACTTTTTTTTTGAGACCTATATGTACGGAATTGTTTTTCTTGTCTGCATGCTTCATTCCATACGTTTTTTCTTAATTCTGAGTAGAAACTGACAACACATGAACCCTTTAAACCATAAACCACAATAATGTGGTAGTAACTTAAGTGATGAAGCATTTTCAACCATACGCAGTTATTTTGGCATTGAAACCACAGATAATAATCAGAGGGTGGGGGAGATGGTGAGTGAATTTGAGTTCCTGTGTAATGCAAAATGGCTGTAGTACCAGTATCACAGCTAGACATTTCATGAAAAATTGAAGAACTGCGATCAAGACAAAGCTCCAAAATTTTTGTTTATCTGTTGACAGAAACAACTGTTAGGGCAAGGAAGCAGTAAGACTCAACAAGGTGCAATAAATAGAAGTCCTCATAGCCTCAGGTTTCCTGTTTCTTATATGAACAAAATTTCAGTACAATCAGTGTTGACATTGTTCGTATGTGAGTGTCAGCATGGCCTGATGGAAATGTTTGGGTAATGAGGTGTTGCAAGATGCTGATGTCAGTTGTTTATAGCATGAGTATGTATACGAACTACTCACTGGCGAAGCTGTTATAAGAAATCACAACACAAAATGAAAACTGATGGAACAGGACAAATTTAATGTAAATTTACAAATACTATTGAGAAAATGAAGGGGTATAAGATAAAAATAAAGGTTAAAGAGGCGTGACAGTAATGGTAACCGGTATTAAAGGGTGTGGGAGCTTTATTGTGACGTGTGTCGTAGGAGTGTAGGGACATACAACACACAAGTGTGCCACACAGTATAGGTATATGTAGTCACTTGTGCGTACACTCTCCCTTCATTCATATTTATTTCTCGTGTTTATGTTATAACAGTATAAGCTGTGTTCCACAATAATATATAGAATCGAGAGTAACCCACACCATTAGCTATCGTTCACTGTCTCATCAGCTATATGTCCATGTACGTATACCAACTCGACACCTTCTCTCCAATCATGCACGCACACAACTGACTTCTGGATGTCCTACCTTTTTTTACAGGGATTAGCCCACCCGGGCACAAGTCACTGACTCACAGTACCCAGTACAGTCACCAGCTTAATGTATAACTTTGTATTGAGTAGAGTGTCATTCACCAAAATTATATAGAAATCAACTTAAATTTCGTCTGGAGTGGTTTCACTTTAATGAATGTATCTCGTGATTGGGATTTATATTATACAGGGTGGACGAAAAATAACTGACATACAACTCTGTAGAAACCAACCTGTGTGTCAGTTACTTCTCGCCCACCCTTTGTGTATGTGTGTATATACAGCAGTTATAAACTGAAAAATAGAAATGGCGTGATACACACAGTATAGTACCGTATACAATATAATCTATAATGACAAGGGGGGGGGGGGTATTCAGCAAATTCTCCTAGTCTTGAGGTCCGTTATAGTCATAGATGGTGCTTTATTAGAATTTATGAGTTAGGGTGCTAGTAGATGATAAACATGAATTAACTATACTTCATGAGTGGTTCCTAGTGTGTAAGATTGATAAGTATTTCTTAGATAAGTGATATTCATGTCATGTGTTCGTGAGTGATACCATTCTAGAATGTATGCTGGAATTATTTTGTGGGGGGAATGCTAAGGCAGGGATTCGCTTAATGTTCGTCAGTACGAGGTAAAGTGAATTGGGACTGTGATAGTGGAGTTGCAAATTCTTAGGCCAGTATTACCTCGTGGGTGATGAAAGCCATCATCCGTGTCGTAACGCACTGTGATATCCCTGCCATTAATGTGTACCCGTTTTTGTTTTTTATAATACATAAGTTTAATACCACAGATGTCATATTAGAAATCTACTTGGGGCTTTTATTTAATCCTAATTCCAGAAACACCAGTCCCGGATTTTGTTTTCGTATTCTGAGGGCGTCTTCCACTGCACTTAATTCAAACTCCAATAAGAAACGATAGGTTGAATATATATATATATATATATATATAGAGAGAGAGAGAGAGAGAGGTGGGTGTGTGTTTTGTAAATTAAACCAGAAGGATGCAATGTAATTCGCACATAAACAGTGAAGGTTGCTGATGGTGAGCAGTTGTTAGGAGTAGAGAGTGAGTGTGTGGTGGTGGTGGGGAGGTTGGGAGGTGATTGTGCCAGTTAAGATTCATCACTGCTGCCTCTCCCCCCACCTCCCACCACCTCTTACTCACTACGCCCTACCCTCACTCAGCAACCTACCCACCCACCCGGCCCACCAGCCACTTGCAGTGCTCGCCGTTCCCCACTGGTCACGGTGCCCCTCCGTACAACTAGTTACATTTGGTGTTTCTCCTCTTTTGGTCACGTCTGTGTTTGGCACTGCAGTTAACGTACAAAGTAAATTTTATTGCCGAGTCGGCGTGTGGAGTGAATCGCAATGCTGTGTCAAGTGATTCGTATCGCTTAGTCAAGTGAATCATATTGTTAAATGAATTTGTTTAGTGATTCGAATTGATGAATTTAATGAATGAATTGTAATGTTAAATTGATCCGTGGAGTGATCCTTATATATATATGAATCACTCCACGGAGATATTGGCTGAGGAGTGATTTTATTGCTAAATTGACCCGTGCTGTAAGGTCCAGTTGACGACCACACGCACATACAGTACATATTCTCACCGTATGTCATGAAAATGGACTAAAACTTTGTAAGGGTATAGTAAAGGATGGTGAAGCGGACAGAGTTAGTGGTAGTCGTGTTGGGTGGGTGGCAGTGTGACGTATCCTGACACTAGGGGTTGGTGAAGTATCTCCAAGGGCGGACTAAGGGCCTCATGATCCCCAAGTGCAATATACTCGAGGTGTATGTGTCCCCCCCCTCCCCCAACACACTCATGAGAAAGGTATAGTATGTGTGTGTTTGTGTTTTCGTCAAGGGCGGGGGAGGGGGGGTAAAAGAGGAATCTATCCCCGTCTCAAGTGGGGATGTACCCTCCCCTCCCATGAACTTGGCAAGTTGATATGACTCATTTGGACAAATGGGAGTGTGATAGCAAAAGAAACAAACGAAGGTTGGTAGTTTTACTATTGACACGTGTTTCGACCTTAAAGTCTTCCTCAGAAAATATATAGGTCGAAACTCGTGTCTACAGTAAAATTCCCAACGTCGGCTTGTGTTTCCTTTGTTATTTACCACATTGCCAAGTAGAGTTTAAAAGTTGCATGTACCTTTATATTACATATTGTTATTGTTGAAATAAAAAACTCGTTTTGTGAAATTAAAATGCAGAAAAGGATTTTGTTCACTTGGTGTATACAGTATAGGTGCGTGTGATTTTTTTTTTATTAAATAAACCCTAGAAAATAATATTTTGATACTTTAATTTAATATACTTTGATCAAGAGAAAGGCTCTCTCTTTGTTAGTTAAATCTCAAATGTCGTTTTTTTGCGCCCCTCCGGAGGGGGGCTGAGACTGATTTTTCATAACTAAGGCAGTTGAAACCCCGAACACTTCAACAACAGCAGCAATTTAAGCCTAATTATATCTATGATTCATTCGTTAGTAGGTGAAATTTCTAGATGGGAAATAGATTTTAATACATGTTACAATAAATGTACTCAAAATAAGAATGTTCCCGTAGGACGTGTTGTGTGTGAAACTGCGGTCTCTCTTGGGAGTGTGGTGAAAATCTTACTCAGTGGGAAAATAAAAGACCCCGTGGAATGTTGTGTAGTGAGGCAAATTGCGTCTTGATAGAGACTAGTTAAGTACTACACTCTAACCCTCACCATTAACCCCCACCTTCCTCCCCCTCTCTCACTGGTTGAGGGAGGGGGAGGAAGGTGGGGTGAGCATCAACTCCCACTCACATCACCCTCCCCCACCCGCTCCACGCTCCATTCCCCACACCTACCCGCTCCACTCTCCCCTTCCCCTCTTTTCCCCTGTCCCTCCCATCACTTACTATAAACTGAACTGAAATGTGGCACCTAAATGGATAGTTGGAGGTATATTTTTTGTGTATAACAGTCTGTGTTGCCACATATTGCATTTTTAAGTGCTTTGTTTTCCTTGTGTGTTGGACGTCGACATTTTTCGTAAAGCAATGGCATGTTATCAGTCACCAATTCAGGAAGAAAGAAAAACAAAATTGTTCATAAGTATGTGGGTAGCAGACACTTATTATAATTTAGGGGTTACAACCAAGTTAGTGCGGGACTGGTTCATATTACAGATGTGATTCTCAGTGTGACTCATTGGTCATCTGGCTCTTGTGTTGTACGGAAATTTACCAAACTTAAAACCAAATCGTTTCAGGCTAATATCATGACAGTACGTAGGCCGATATGCATTGTGTTTAAAGTATAGTATTTAATCTAGTTCGAGAGAAACCATGGTGTAATGGCCAGCATCCTCGCCTCGCAACGGAGCGGACCCGAGTTCGATCCTCGGGCCAGGTTGAAACTTTGGGTAAGTTTCTTTACGCCATTTGACTGTCTACCCAGCAGTAATTGGGAAACTGGATGTTAATCTATTTGCGGATGGTATTCCGGGATAATGGTTAGCCAGTGCAGTTGGCGAGTTGTTCAGTCATCTCGGACTATTCTTTGACACTGGGTCATGCAGCTCGTTAACTTGGGGTGTGGTTGTTGTGTTGGCGACAGCTTCTACACCTTAACAAATTCACGCCAAGGAGGCCCTTGGGCCGGCCATCCTCGATTTTGAGGGGCTTCCATTATTATTATACCTGGTATATTTGGCCTGCATTTTTTTTTTTACCACACCTCGGTATTATTTGTCATTCAAAGGGGTCTATGTCAGTTCCATCATCGTCCTAACCTAAGACGGTGTGCCGCCATGTTCTGTAAGACATGTTTCGTGCATTGCTGGAGTGATTGTTGTTGATGTACTGTACTGTACCATGGTTCGCTGTCACCCGTTTCTTCCCAACTTATTTATTATCATTGTCTTGTGTAGTCAGTTCTTTGACAACATGAGAATCCCAGCTGCGAACTTTCAAGTCTTTCTTCCTCGTGTAGCTTATCGTCTTTAATCGTGGATTGCAAAGTTCTGCCAAATTTCTCAGCAGAGATTTATAACCCACCCTCTTTGCAATATTTCAACAACGCCTCAACTTATTTATTTCAAACCTACAAATCATATGTCGTGGTGTTTTGCCTTTTTCGCACTTCATCTTGTGTATCTTCTTTGACTTTTGTTATTACGGTAACTTGACGAAACACTTTAATGTACAGTATGTCTAATTATGCACTTTTAACAACCTGACGCACAGTTTTTGATGGCCTTCCTTTAAACTTCTGTACGCACATGTAAGATCATTACGTATATTGCTTCTTATATCATATTATTGTAACATGGGACACCACTTCGTGAATATGTATTAAAACCTCCCAACCTCAGAGCACAAGGGGTGTCTCTTTCCATCTTTTGGTTTGGAGACAAAATACGTATCTTTAAAGTAAAGATAAATCACCAGCACCGCGCTATGTATTATAACTGATTATTTAGTAATTACCACGTTTAGCTGCAGCGAACAAAAATGTATGATTGTCTTGGGGATAGTAATGAAGTAACAGTGTGCGGGTTTTTGTGTTGGCCTACATCGCCCCCGTAGCTGTCAGCAAAATGGTAAATATGTGTAGGAACAAGTTCTTTATTTTAATACATATTATGGGGGGGCGGGGGGAAGCCGAGGAAGAAACTTGTGTAATGTGTTATACATCCTGTTTGTGACATTAGGAGGACGTGATCTTTGTGATTAATGATACGTTGTCCCCCAGCAGTTAACAACACGTAACACACAAAAGTTGGCGAGTTTTGCACATACTCGTTATACAAGGCATTTACGTAAACTGCGACCAAGTCATATTTGATGAGGAATTCCAAAACTTGCTATCAGAACACCTGGGAACTCTGAATAAAGAATTGTCATGTTATTTTCCACATGTACTCCAGACACCCTGTATCTTAATTCGGAATCCGTTTAGGTCCGATTTTGTCTTAAGCAGTGTTAGAATCTTCACCCCCCTTACATCCATATATGTACAAGACAGTATGTATGAGACTTTTTATCTCTGCTTCTTAGAAAATCAAAAGTAAGAAGTTGGTGAAAGTGTTGGTGGTGACTACTCTGTATACAGTATATATAAAAAGGGGGTTGTTTAACAGGACATAAGTCAGTATTTATTTGTTTAGGTATTTGTTTATTCTGATAATATTAACTTGAATTACTCTCAAGTTGTCTTGATGTGTTTTCTATAGCCAGTAACCCCAGTTCCCTCAATTCCTCCAATTTTCTGGATTTCGTAAATACTTGATCATAAATTAGGATCTCAATAACTGTGGAAAGGGTGAAATTGGTCGTCATCGAAAAAAAGTTGGGAACATCTGTACATTAGTCAATATACTATATCCCTATTGGAGATGTTCAGTCGTGTCCCCCCCTCAGCGTTCCGAAACTCAAGAGGAAGAATTTGGGTAAAGTGACAGCGAAGATTCGAGTCTGAACGGGGAACTTTATCAAAATGGGCTTCAGAATACAGTATAAGACACGGTAAGTGTAGTACAACTTTTTTCTTTGGATGTGCCTACTGAAAATTTACATTTCATAATGGTTAGCAAGGACGCTGTTAGCTGATATATTGGATATCGGATATTACCATATTTGAGCATATGAGATGAAGAGGAGTGTTATCAGAGCTTGGCGCTCGAGGCTAGTGGCGTGGGCTACGCCACTACAGGATGCGGCGCGCGCTGCGCTCCATCCTGTTGTGTGACTATCAGTCCATCATCCTCCATCCTGACGTTACTTCATGTTACACATGCTACCCATGTCATTTATTTTGCCTTAAGACATAATGTTGTTGAAGACTTTTCTTCAAAGATCAAAGTTTAGTTTTAATATTACTTGATTAGTTACCTTTGAATGTTCAAATTACAAATAATATAATGTTCAATTAAATACGTTTTATAAATTGTATGGAGGTTCTAAAGTAGTTTATAATAAAATTTGGTTTTGAAGGAGTAATTGGGGAAAATATGGTCCCAGAAATGTATTTACACTTAAACCGACTGCAGTTTTATTTGGTTCTTGTAACCCATCAGCGAAATACTGAAAGTATAAACCGAAAATGAAACAAATAATTACTTAAATTAACCGGGATTAGTAGAAAGTCATGTTCTGGATGTATGTTGAAGGCGATTGGAATTTTATAAAAAGAAAGACCGCTATCCTGCCGCTGTCCTGACTAACTCTTCTAGTACATCCTTCTGGTCCTTAACCAAAAACATCTGTAGTAACTTCTGCACTCCCTCTTTTCCTCCTCTCTTCCGACCTGATAACTCTATAGCCAACTCTACCCCTGACAAAG